GCAATTAGCTTTTTGAAACTAGGGTGAACGTTTCTGGAAAAGAACAAGGTGGATTTATTAAAACTGGGGCTCTGTCCCCCAAGGCTCCCACAAACACCTCCATTATCTCTCGAATTTTTATTTCATTATCAATAGTAGCCTTTGCAAAAATAATAGTCATCAGCAAATTGTAATATGGGGATATTAGGACCCCTCTTAAAGCCTTGAATCCTAGGTTTTTCCTATAGAATCCTAACTTATATGGCATGTCATCCTACACAGAGCCTCACTACATAGAACAAAAATGTAGGTTGATAGAGGGCCACCTTGTTTAATTCCTTTGTTGGGTTTGAAAGTTCTCTCCTAGGGGACCCATTTATGAGAATTTGGTATGAGGCTTAGTAATGCACTGCATAATCCAATTTATCCATTTCTCATGAAAACTCATTTTCTTCATGATTTCTTCAATGTAGACCCATTCTAGTTTATCATACTCCTCCATGTCAATTTTACAGGCCATAAGCCCCTAGTTGCCTTTCTTCCTCTTCATCGTATTCATCATTTCATGGGATATTAATATATTATCAATAATTTGACTATCCAACACAAAAGCAATTTGGAATGGGGCCACAATATCCCCTAGCATCGATTTTGATCTATTTATAGACAGACTTGTAGGCCTGTAATTTTCGTTCTGTCTGGATTGCCAGTCTTAGGTACAAGGGCAATAGATGTTTTATTTAACTCTCGTCACTTTGGGCCCAGTGGATTTCCTCTCTAAGGAGAAGTTTATTTAGTTGTTTTTAAGAGCTCAATCTCTGTTGACTAGCTCTCTTTTATTGGGTTTCTATTCTAGTTTTAGTTGAACTATCTTTATTTCTCTTCTTTTCATGGATATTGTCAAATACTTCTTTATTCCATCTTTATATTTCCATTGCCGTTCTGTTTTCTTTTCTTTTTTTTTTTTTATAAATTATTGTCCTCTTGATCCATCGTCTCTTTGTCTCCGAGCTCTATCCATGATTTGGTCTAAATCGACTCGATCGATTATTCCATATTATTTCAAATCTGAAGGGTATAGGCCGAAAGTCATAGTTTTGACCATCATGAACGACAATAGGAGTATGATCCGAACTTAGAAACGGAAGATACTCTTGATAGGCCGTCGGGAAACTACTCAACCACTCTCTGTTGACCAAATTTCTATCTGGTTATTTTTCCATGTATACTTCCCCTCGTTTCCAACTCAATTAAATTTTTTTGACAATTATAAAAATTTTCCCTATATTTTGATTAAAACAAAAACCTCCACTGTAGATTTAAATAAATTGATAATTTCCTCCTTTCGTCATCTAATCAATAACAGGGACAAGAAATATTACCCATTTAAATTTTTTTTTTTTGTTCTTTCACCTAGGGCTGTTCATAAGAATGCCCAACCCGACCAACCCGGACCGACCCAACCCGAGTCGGCTGGGTTTTCATTCGTACTGGTCGGTTTCGGGTTGGGCACATACAAAAACCGATATGAAAACCGAAACCGACCCGACCCGAACCGAACTAGTCTTTCTTCTACTAGTTTGGTAGTTCCTACTTCCTAGTTTGAGTAGTTTCCTAATTCCTACTAGTCTTCTAGACTTCTACTAGAAATAGAAGGCCTATTAGGCAATTACAATTAGAATTCA